TTAGATTGATAAAAGCAATAGTAAAAGAGATATTAGAGATGAGCAGTAACCTTTGGGACCGCGTGTTCCTCCGCGTCAATTTCGTTTTAGACATAATATTTTTTTTTCTTTTAGTTCAAAGTAAAGTTAAATGATCTGTTATTTACTTAAGAAATGTTACCTACCATCAAGGTACTTAGGGGACTTGCTCTAAATTGGTAAGATAAGAGAGACAAATATATTTTTACATTTTTAAAGCATTATTTTCATGTTGCCTCTGTACAAGATGGAAACTCTTTATCTTAGTCTTCGAACGTCGCGACAGAGATCTGTCTTTTCTTTCCTATTAAAGGAACAATGTTTTGCAACATTTATTTTGTTAAAAAAATATTATCCAATTAAATGCACTATGAAGGAAAAGGAAGAGTAAAAGTATTACAAGAGCAGGGCATCTTTATTTATGTCATTTTTATTTATTTGCATAAACAGAAAATGAAATGATATCTTTTAAACAAATCTTTTTGTGTAGGCTTATCTCAAAATTCATATTCAAAGTTCATTTATAAGCATTCAAATTAAAAGCATCTTAGCGGTAAATTAAGCGTTATATCCGAGGCATCAAAGTTATAATAAAGCCGTATTTAATAGTAGCTGTCGCCCGCGACTCTCTCCGCTCGGAATTATTATACAAAAAAAACGTAATAAGTAGCCTATGTGTTCTTTTAGACTATGTTCTATATGTATTCTAAATTTCATGGAGATCCGTTCAGCCGTTCTGGATATACCTTCAACCGATTCATCCATCCGTCTAAACATTTATATCTAAGCATTTATAATATTAATAAAATAATGTATATTATTATATTAAATTGAGAGTTTATGAAAACAGATGTAAATATTCATAGATTGCAAAAAAAAACTTAAGCAAGATGAAATAAAGATATTTTTTCCGACGCTATTGGGTGAGAAAATATAAATAAACAGTAACCGCGATAAAGTCCGAGCGGCCTAAAAACTTTTTACGAGGCTGAAACGCGTTTCACAAAATTGGATACTTTTCATCTATTGCTGTTAAGTAAGTGGTGACTACGAGAATATCTCCATTAATAAATTCTCACAGGAAAAGATTTACGAGGGACGAACACGGCCAAGATGTGACGTCTTTTTTCACTTGATACTTTGGGATTATAAGTATCAAGTACACTGATAAACTAGTGCCATCCATAAATGGTTTTTAATATATTATGCGTATAATTTAACAATTTAGCTTTGCCCAATCTATATGAAAATAAATAATGAAAGCATATAACGTTAAAAAAGGTCTAATAAAATAATTTTAAAACTTCTTTTAACGAAACATGCCGTAGTTGTCGTTTTGTGCTTGTGTTGGCGCATATGAAAATATATACAGGTTAAGTTAGGTTAGGTTGTTTTCTCATTTTAACATAAATACATAATTTCTTTAGAAATTTCTCATCCACCCCCGATATTTAAAATATCTATTTTATGGACAGTTATGTTGAAATTGATAATACCATTATGTTAATCGTAAATGCTCTTAAGTGTTATGATTTGTGTCCCTTTTCGTCGTCGTTTTATGTGCGTTATCTTATTCATGCGTTTGGTGTCCCTCGTTAGACTTTAAAAATATTTATAAACGCAATCGTCGACACATATGTTTTAACTACGTTACTATAAATTTATTAAACTACTAGCGGTCAAACGCGATTTCGTCCGATGATTTTAAATGAATAATAAGTAGCCTATGTGTTCCTCCAGACTATGTTCTACGGCTGTGCCAAATTTCATTTAGATCCGTTGAGATGTGTCGGTGATATCTTTTAACAAACATCCATACATTTATCTAAACACTCGCATTTATAATATTAGTAAGATTAGAATAACTATATTTCTATAAAGTACATGTAAAGTAAAATATAACAGTAACACTAATAACATAAGACCTGGGTTGTAGGATTTTTTGTAGTTACATTCGTATAGCGTTATATATTAGTATGTCTACTACAAACAAGCAGAGCATAATTTCTCAACTATCTCCCTAATGTATCAAATTGGACGCTTCATACCGCCGCCGTATCTCAGACTTTTATGCCTCGAAATGCAAGACATGATAAATTTCGGATTCCGTAAGTGTATAACATGCCAACGCTACGTGATATACTACTTTACCCTTTTTGTTAGGAAAAAATACTCTGTTGAAAGCAATATCAACCTTGTTTGCTTCACGAGGTACAGATGTTTAGGTTAATCTGTCTGTATCGTTTATTATCTTAAGTCATGTCTCAAGATTATTACTAAAGGATCACGATTAAATTTTGCACAGATGTAGAACAAAGTATAGAAGAAGACATGAGCTATACATTATTTTTTTTTAATTCCGCGCAGACGAAGTCGCTGGCAAAAGCTAATATTTGATATATGTATTTTCGTAATAAAATCTAACGAAAATGCCAATTTCCGGACTCAGACATGTTTTCCATGCGATCTTTTTTCAGTAAACTGTGACATCCGACATTGAACAAATGGGTGTAGGCATGGTAAAATATTTTTTTATAAAAATACGCGTAATTTTATTACTAGTTTAACTTAAGATTTTTAATAATGTAGGTTAAAATAATGTAAATATAAATATATATATATATATATATATATATATATATATATAAAGATTTACTTTTCATAAAAAATAATAATGAAATGAGTTACAAAAAAAAACTCCATAATAAAAATCACTTTAATCGTAAAATATTACTTAAGTTATCGAATAGTCTATTATATTACAGTTCGATAGCAAATACATATTTTGCAGACGCTACATTTACAGTCAAATATGTATTTTTCACTATAAGTCTTCCCATATAAAGATTTACAATATCCAAAATAAAGTTTAATTGCAATAAATTTTCCGCTAAATAATAAAATAAAATATTTGAAAAAAGTAATAAATGCTAGTTATAGAATAAGCTACATAATCTCTAATAAAAAAAAAACTTCTTTTGTTGTGAACATGTGTTTTACAACAAAGATCCACATCAATCAAAAAAGTTCAAAGACGATTCTAATTTTGTGTACACTGTTACATCTATTTTTATTTCCGTTGTTAGACAGTATTAGTTTTTAATTTTTACTTCATAAATAAATACTCTATATTACAAAATTTTATGCTAAGATTTATAGGCTGATCCAATATAAATAGTATATTAAAATCATATTATAAAAAACAATATTTAATCTTGACAATTATAAAGGCAACATACATGACTTTTTATACTGAAATCATTCGTATTAAAAGCAAAAAAATATTTATATAATAGTTTAAAATATAATTATTTAAAACAAAATATATTTAGACATATTCTTTATTATTGTTATATCGGAATTAACATTGTAATTATACAAAAATCGATTTCAAAATGTTTACCTTGTAATGAATTCCTCTTAAAACTGTCGACATCTGTTATTTTTAATTTTAATTTTAACATTTGGCGCAAATGACGTGCTTTGGTTACAAAGTCTAGTTTCAGAATGAATAGTGAGGGGACACAAACGTCGACATTTTAGTAAGGCTAGTGTTGGGTCAATACACTGCGACATTTTCAGATTTTCTTCCTAACACATGTTATGACTATTATTATATAAAAGTACATAACTACACTTAACTTTTAGTATTAGGTATACAACAACCCAAAGGCAAACAAATAATCGACATAACCCAAACTTAAACTTGTTACATCCACTTATAAATTGTTTTGGGTTGTTTCCACTTTACAAGTCGTTGAAATCTGAACAAGATTACTGACGCAACTTGTTTATATAATAGGGTCATGTTACATCTTACATCAAATGTGATTGACTCGCCTCAAAATATTTACAGTGCTTTATTATTTTGTATATGTAAATACTGAATCGTATCTATAATACAATAGTTTTCGATGTTATCTACTCTAGATATATAAAAAAATATAATTAAAATTGCACTATACTTAGTAAAATGCCAAACAAATAAAAAGAAAACAAACTTCTCGACATTTAAAATTGTATTTTGCCTTCCCAGAATTTTTTTGTATATATAAAAATTAATTGATACTGATATTTTTTATAATCTATACATGATATTTATATTACTACATTTATTTACGTCTATTATGTACATTGTTATTAATATTAAATTATATAGTGATTATGTTTAAATTTACATATATATTTTTCCAAGCGACACGTATTTAAACTAAAAGTATACAATGACTAGGAATTATTATTACTATTTTTATTCCAATAATTGCACATACATAAGTATCGTACCGGCGCACGCGCGGCACAATTTATCGTTTTGGTTCCAACACGCCAATGTGTGAATCGGTATTGGACTATGTTGGACAAGTATTGGCCATAAACAATTGCGTCCAAAAGTCAATATCACCTTGTATCCTGTTTGAACACGTTCAAAGAGGACAACAATGAAGGAGGAAGACTAAGACTAAAATCGTTATAACGAATGCGTGTTGCATACATTGATGTGTGTAATTAGCAATTAATTAGCCAAGCTTGGAGTCAGATCATTTATAATGTGAAGCGCCGTTATAAATGGAAATAATTTGACTTAGAGATAAGCACCATGTTATATTATAATCAAATTATTATTATTATTATAAAATTATGTTTATTTTATTTAATAGACAATGATCCCACATATTTTAACATTCTAATTAAATACTCGTATATAAGATTTTTTTTCTTAACATTTAAAAATCCTTTAGACACAGCTGACTTGTGAAAACAAGTTCACTTTAAACGATTACTTTTTTAAAACAAATAGTTTACTTTACCATCAATAAATGCATTACGGAAACACTGTTATTGTTATATAATATACTAACACTTACTTTCGTACTTTCACTTCAACACTGCAAAATTATTAATTTCACCAAAAAGCGAAAAAAAATTATATCACCAAAACGAGTCAATTGACAGTAAAAAAATGTCGACTACAAAAGTCGTTGGTTAAAACAGTTCATAGGTATGTGACAGAAGTGGCAGGGCCGGACTGTGATTGCTACGCCTTCCTCACAGTTCCCAGTTCCGAAGTCCTACGTTGCAACGGTAACAACTTGCGCGCTAGCCGTCTGAATGTGTTACGGAACTGCCTACTCATGCTGCAGTACAGCACGAAGTTCACGGCGGACCCCACCAGCGCCATGAGGTCCATCACCTCACCTGTGGAGACAAAATATCACTATTTGTCTTTAAAATACGTGCATGTAAAATCTAATTGTATTGCCTGTGATATATTAGTTGGCAGATGTTATAATTGCTCTCCTAAATGCTACTCGAATAAAGAAGAAATTTTAAATTATACTTATGAAGCAAGATGAAAGATTTATTTCTTTGCCTTTGTTAGTTTTAAAAGTAGTGAATGTTGTTATTTTTTAATCATTTTTACATTATCTAGATGTACTATTTTGCTTTTGTTTTTACCATGCAGTATTTAAATAAATTACGGCAAAACCACGTAAAGCAACAACCAATTAAGCTGAATCATACCTCACTGTACCTATATTAATATTATTTACGTAAATTAAAAGTGTCTTGGTACCAATAACAACTTTACGATTTTTACATTTTAATTAAAAATGTATATTGCGTAAATTCTAGACTTCGTAATTGTTTAAACAAATATTTTATGATTTATAAAAGAGCTCGTGATATTTTAACGAGATCTGAATGGGTAAAATGTTTTAATTACTTGAGAACTTGTGAAGAAAATTCACTTATTATATCCCGTAGTCGTTTGTCTAAAGTCAAAACAATAAAGTAAGAATTATTTTGGCAACGAAAAATGTTATTAAGTTAAATTAGTAACTGTGTTATTAACAAAGCAAACTCTGTAGTTAAGAGCAGCAGAAACAATTATAAAAATATAGACACGACGGAAATAGTCGTAAAAAAATTTTGCTTCTACGATTTGTCTGTTGAGTGCATTTTAGGAACATCGTCCTTTTCCCAACTCAATTTACTCCTTTTGAATGTAGCTAGAGATATTAGGAAGTAAATGAGAAATTATGCATGTCGCTCAAAAAAAAACTAGGCAGTCTTTTGAATATTTCATATCGGTAACAAATTACGTAACTCACCATGCCTTGCTTTTTCCAAAAAGTTAAATAAAAATATTACCTAACGTTCTAAAAAATTTCATAAAAATATAAAACTCAGCGTTAATTGGTTGCCTTACGTTCGCAAACAAGCTGCCAATCCACACAAACTTGTGAATGTTATAGTAACGACCGAAACACGTCAGCAGTTCTGAATATGAAATACTCAAATTCCCTTAACATTTTACATTAATTACTATAATTGACAGCTACAAAATAAATATTTAAACACATATACATATATTGATTAAATTTTAAGTGTAGTAAAAAAGTCTTATTGAAGGTAACTTCTATTTAATAATTAAAATAAGTTTAATGTTAACCTATCTTACCAAATGAGTAGTAACATTCTTGGAAAAGATGCGGTGCAATTGCGGTAAGGAGGCCAAACAATGCTTGAGGCAACTCAGTAGCTAAAAACAACCCCAGCAGAGCGACAAGCATCCGCGTTGTACGATCCGTTCGTCCTCCACCACTGGCAGCGCGTTTACCACCACCGGAGTCCTCTTTTAATCGAGCTTTTTCACCCTGCATTATATAAGTATTTTTAGTATTATTATAATTAATTATCTATTAAGGTTTCAACAAGTGTCACGCTTGCATTATTGGTTGATTATTTATACATATTATAGTCTTTGTTTTTTCAAAGAGAAGACAGTATGAAAGAGAAGACACTATTAAAGGTTTAATCGCAGTTAACTCACTAGCAAGTATGTGTATTTACACGATAATTGTCAGACAGAGGACTAAAGGTCATTGTAATAACTTTAATTTATACGTTAATAGATTAACGTATAAATTAAAAATATGAATATACGTAATGACGTCGCCTACTGATAATATAAAATAAAAAAAAACTTTATCAAAAACATGTCATCAAAATTTTGTAACAAAAATAAAACATTACCATTAAAGTAGAGGGATGGTGAAACAGATGTTTAGAATGGTAATTTTGTACAGTCAGAAACAAAAATACATTTTATTTATCCGGATACAAAAAATACAAAAAATAAAGTTTCCAGATGATTCAGTCCAATTGTTATCTAATTGGTAAATTGTGATATGAATACTAAATAAAGTAAATGTGGATAATAATGTTTACCTCGTTTTTTAATGATCTTATACCTTTGTATTAAATGGCATGGATATACATTAAAGACATGATTTTTATTTTATATCATTTTAATTTTATTTTTAAATTGTTGCTGACTGTACCTGTTAACGATTTAAAAATGACATATTCTAACGAGAACAAATTGAGGAAACCTAATTTCCGCTACACCTGATACCCTATTATACGTAACAGGCCGCATATAAATATCTGTATAAAATATACAACAAAATATATGTATGACATAGAGCATAGTGTAATGTAAATAGAGAAAATGTATTTAGACTAAAAGGTTTCTTGTAAATAACCTACTACTTTCATGAACATTTTTTTGTTTCACCAGTTGTATACATTTTTGTTTAGTTTAGAAATGATTGTTTTTAGACAAACAGTAAGTAACTTACAGAAAAGTCTATTTGTTTTTATTTTAATTTGATCATAGTATTGAGGCGATCAAAAATAAAAAGATTGTATATATTTAAAAAAAAATATTACAAAAAAATTACGATATCATAGAAGTTTTTACAAATTACCTCGTTAGTTAAAAGCGCTGATTTTTTCAATAATTTTTGTCTCCTTCGGTCGCTGGATTTCATTTTAAGGATTAGACAAACGCTTAAAATTGACAATACTATACAGGGGATAAGTTTGATGAAAACGCTATATATCCAGAATATCGCAGTCAACAAATCCTCATTATTTGTCATTGTTATTGCATACTTTATATCCAAATCTTGTGAGTTGTTCTTCGAAGTCTCGTTTGGTTCAATCGTACTGGTCTCATTGTTACTCTTGTTTGGTATTTTTTGTATATCCATAGCGAAGTAAATAGGAAGACAAATTATGGGACAAACGACGTATGCCACAGCAATGGCCAGATTGGTGTTACGTTTGTTACAAAGGAGTCTGTTTTTCTGCGGAAACTTGATAGCGATGTATCGCCATATTGCAAGAGTAATGGTTAACCATATTGAAATAGTATGAAAAGTTTGACTGAATATGGAATGAAAGTATACAAAGACAGCCCATCCGTATGAGTTTCGATGGAGTTCCGAGCCGATGGTGGTGTAGATGTGCAGAGCCAGAGGTATGTAATCGAGCATCACAAGGAGGTCGGCCACGGCGAGAGCAGTCAAGATGGAGTTAGTCGACGAGATCATTTCCTTTCGACTTAGCACAGCGATATTGACAGAGTTTGCCGCAGAGCCGAGGAGGCAGATAATTAGCGCGATATAGCCGTGCACCTTGATATAGACTCGCTGGAACTCTCGCCCCCCGGGCACGCAGTACGCCTCCATAATGTCAGTTGTTGCATTCATTTTCTCTGCTCAATGTTTACTTATAATTCCTTTAAGCTGTTCAAACCGAGGGTTGAGAAATCTTCTACTCATTTTCTGTGAACAAAAATATATTAATTTATTACAGATGTAATTAATTCAATACGATACTGGTTATAAAAAATCAATGAGGCAGAAGGAAAGGATGCATAATTTATGTGAACATTTTGCTTTCTTTCCTTATAAATTTTGGCATGAATCTCTTACTACGAGGTCACATGGATTAGCATTGGGTTTTACGGTAGCTATTAACATTAAACTTGCATGTTGTTAATGGACAGTATCCGGGGTGGGGCGGGGGTCCGCGTGAACAAAGGTAACTTCCCGGTAAACGATTAAGGTACCGCACGAAAGGTAAAACGATTCATGAACATACGCCAACTCTAAAAAGATTTGGTATTAACATTATGAATTTTAATTACCAAAACAACAGCATAATTTAAATATTATAAATCTTCATGAAGATATATAAAACACAAGCTTAGCCACTTCCGCGTTCGTGCTAAATAACCCATAACTCAACTTATTTTATTTAGAATGGGGGCATCATTTGTGTTAAGATGAAATACTGCAACCTCGATTATTCCATTTATCGAACGGCGTTCTATATAAAACGAATTTAAATAAAATATGTATGTATAGTTGTATTCATATATATTTTTGTTTGTGTAGTAACAGGTCACTGAACCTTACGGCCTTCAGAACCACTTATCATATAATATTTTATATCGTTCTTATACAGTTATATATTTATGTTTGTTTCATTGAGAAACAAATTTAAATGAGACGTACATATGTAATAACATAAAGCATCCACATCTAACAATGTATTTTTAGCAAGATTAATAATATCAGACAGATACTGCTTTCGTGGTGAATCTTTCTTTCTTAAATTTGAGTCAACCTCAGCGAAATACTTAAATAGCTTCGCAAACAGATTTAATTACTCATACAAACAATATACATAGGAAATAACTTGCCAAAAAATGTCTCCATTACTAAAAAAAAGGCGTCGGTTGCTCAGGGGTCAAGCACTTGACTTGCAATCTGCAGGTCCTGGGTTCGAATCCCGCCATGTACCAATGTGTTTTTCTTTCGATTTACATATGTACGTTTTTACGGTGAAGGAATACATCGTGATGCAACCTGCACATATCTGAGAAGAAAATTCAAAGATATGTGTGAAGTCAACCAACCCGCACTTGGCCAGCGTGGTTGACTATGGCCTAATCACCCTTAACTTAGGGTCGGCTCCGAGCATCTCGGTGGGGACGTATAGTAAGCTGATGATGACTAAAAGAAACCCATGCAATAACTCACCGACTAAGATCGCTTTGTTGCATTATCAATAATGTTCGTTATATTAACTAGCCATTCAATAAAGAGAATATTAATGAGTTTTCCAAAATTGCTAATAATGAGAAACTTTAACAATGTAACTTATATGAAAAGGCTAACTAAAGTTACTCCCAAATTGTAAGAAACAGATCAATAGAAGGGTCCAGGAGGCCACTAACAAACAATTGTTCCCTCACTATTGTTTCCAAATCATTAACTATTTGAAGGGTAAGGGAATTAGTTGTTTCTATGTAATTTCTTAGATAGTTTGACCCGTTATGTTGATTAACGTCATAACTTTTACAAATAAGGGTAAACTATTATTTTATTTTCAATCAATAGTAATTACAATTTTAAACACTTCAAATGCCAAAAATCAAATTTACAGTGTGAGAAGAATTCAGCATTCTGTTTTTATCAGATAACCGTTTTAACTGACTGATTTACGTCTGCTGCAAAAACAGTCCAATTGCGACATGTCGTCTAAGGCCTTAATTACATAAATATAAGGATAACATGAGGAATAGACATGCATCTTCCTTTAAAAAAAAAAAGAGTGAGTCTTTTACTTTAATTTTGATTGGGATAACAAGAAATAAACAAATACATTATTAATAACTTTCATCTAGCTCCTTCAAGGTCTAGGTTTAAAAATATTTACGTGTTCGACGGTGTATGTTAGCAATTGTTTTAGTTTTTAAAAATAGAATAACAAAATGTTGATTAAGGAATTGCTGTCTACTTTATAGTGTATCTTCATAATCAAGAGTTATTACCATCAAGTCGAGGTCTATCTTGATACAAATCTGACTAAGATAATGATATTGTAATCGACACAATCTCCTCTGACGATATGATCAAAGACTTGAAATTATTTACTGCGTAATTTATATTTGATAAAGAATATCATTAATCCATTTTAATGGATAAACAGTAAATGTATTTTATAACATCCGACCTTTATATTCAATATTATCCGTTGCTATTCTTGTATACGGATGTAATCATGTTTAAAATTTAACGACTTTATATTAAAATAAAACCATCGTATCCTGATCGTAGCATAATCATAATGAACACTATTTACTCTGACTGTAGCTAATAAGATGAAAAGAAGATTTCTTATTAATTATTTTCTGTAAGAAATATTACGAAATCCTTCTCAAGTATTGTATACATCGAATAATAACAGAAGTTTAAGTTAAGTTTAAGAATAATTAAGTTATTTTTAAATTGTGTTTATTTAGCTATAACATCTCCTTTTACCTATGGGCCTATTACGAATTTTTGTGACAATCGCCATCGTAACGTCATTGACGTAATTTGTGTAGCGGCCACGGGCGGAAAGTACGCCATAAACCTCGACATTTTGATATAATTGACGATGACGATACGATGGTGATTGTCACAAATATTCGTGCTAGGCCCACTGTAATTCCGATAATATATAAGTATTAAAGATAATTTATCTTAGATATGTTATAAACATTAGAGTTGTAATGAAAAGATGGACTGGCAGGGAATGTATATAAAATGATAAAAAGAGTGAAAAGGTATTTGATATTATTGATAACGCAATTGATATGAAATAAGCTCTTGATAAATATTGAATCGATGATATCTAAAGCTTGCACAACGTTCAAAATAACATTTGTTATTGAGTATATTTATTATTGAGTCGAGACTTACACTTCGTATATTATTTAGTTCAGACTTTTTAATAAATAAGTCGTTGGTGAATTTAACTTGTTTTTCTCAACGTCTCCAAAGTCCGCTGCAGTAAGCATAAGATTTTGTAAATTAGACTTTCAACTTTCAAGTTATTAAGCAATCTTATATTGCTTTTCAGTTTGTTATCTTACTAATATAATAAATGCGAATTTTTAGATGGATGGATGGATGTTTCTTTAAAGGTAGCACGGGAACGGTTCAACGAATTTTGATTAAATTTGGCACACATGTAGAACATAGCCTGGAAGAACGAATAGGTTTTTTAAAATTCCGTGCGGAAGGAGTCGCGGGCGACATGAAGTTCTTATATAAAAGAAGACGACAAAATTAAATATATTATTAATATTATAATGATTATAACATTACGATAAAGTTTTGCTGTTTAATGATAATTCAAAAACTTAAAGCGGTGGATAACCTCTCAATAGACCTTCGACAGGGGTTGTTATCTAGGGCGAAGTATTTGCTTTGACACAACTTTTAATGTATTCCCATCACGCTCCCTATAGTTTTGAGATAAGATTGAACTCAACCATGTGTTACTTATGATTCTAACTTATGTAGGATGCCAAGGTATAAATTAATATCGAGTTATATTTAATCTAATCTGAATAAACAAAGATAATATTCTATTAATATTCTACAACAATGTTTGTGTACAGTCAGCTACAAAAGAATGTATACATTTAGAAAGCTTCAGAAAATTATATACGGTTGTGATTTAAAAAAATCATATGCACGTATTACTCCGTATGCTTCCGGCCAGAATTACATGCTTTTGACGAATACATGCATAAGTATTTTTGAATCTGACGGCCTAAACAACTTTCTAAAGTTTAATAAATGTATACATATTTATATAGCTAACTGTACTGTTGTTTTTGCATTGAAAACCCACGTGGGTTTTCAATGTTTGTAGAGTCATCTATTACCACCTTAAAACCAACAGAAATGACATGAAATCATTCAACTAAATAACAGAATTTACCACTTATATCTTGCTATAAAAGTTGAGAAGTAACAATCAGTTCTTTTAATTCCTTTCTCTAGATTTTAAACATCACATGTTAAACATTGTATGCACACTATAAAAGTGTTTAAATTAAGGAAAACATGTGATCTTGCAACTCTTTATGCACGGTCAGTAGATCTGCCCACGATCATCCGACATACTTGTTTAATGTTAACACAAAATAAAAATAGAACTATCATTTGCTACAAGTGCAGATTATCGTACGTATCTTCCAAACAAATAAGCCGTGTAAACATGTGCAGATCGTTTTTCGATCTCTTATTGATTTAATAATGTTCTTATAACTTTTTGTCTCCACTTCTATCTTTTCAACTTATCCAAAGAGCTGTTTGAACTTTATAATAAGTTTCGGAACTGTGAAGTAGATTAACTTTAATATAGTTACGTTAAAATGACGCTGAGATTTTCATTACTTACTAATGAAATTGTAACACAAATAGAATAATAGTTATTATAAATATTATTCTATTTAATAAAAGAAGAAAAAGAATCTTTATTGCATATTAAACGATTACAATATCGGTTTGACTCCTTAACTATTTTATTTAAGAAGCCATTGACATCCCTTTCTTCTGAATCTTACAAAATAGATGCCTTTAACAAATATAAGAATTAAACTGTGACAAAAATGAAAGTAATTAAAATAAATTTAAACTTATTAATTATAAGAAAAAAATTAACAAGACTGATAAATACTAAAATAATGGCCTTTAGATATATACTATAATACTATAAATATATATACGACGAAGAAAAAAGGAAAAATGTATGACAATATATGTAGACATACACGATTGACTTTTAAATCTTCTAAGGTATTGTATGTCCACCTTTAATATTTTATTCGATGTCAGTATTATCACGTTTTTCCTTTAATTTCATAGTGAACTCTTTTTATCTACTAAAATAACTTATAACAATGAGCTTTTAGAATTTATCAAAAAGCCGCTTTCGATTAATTTAATATAATTCGTATAATGTTATTTTTTCTGGATAAATCAAGGTATATTCAAGCTTAAATTTTCGCAACATTGGATTATTGACAACTCTAAAATAAAATGGAATAAAAATGGCGTTGTTTTTAATATAAAGATTAGCTGTCACCCGCGACTCCGTCCGCGCAAATTTAAAAAAAAAAAAACACTTAAGTAGCCTATGTGTTCCTTCTATGTTCTATACGCATACCAAATTTCATCTAGATCCGTTCAGCTGCTCTGGAGATACTTTCAAACAAACATCCATCCATCCATCCATCTAAACATTCGCATTTATAATATTAGTAAGAAATAAGATTATGGCGAATTACTGATAATTAATAGTCACAGGCCATGTATTACACAAATCTTTCTAATATGACTAAAATAATTGGCCTTCATCAGACATGCAAACGCCAAATACTGGTGTTTGAACATCACCATGCATTCGTATATTAGGCACCACTACGAGACGTCTTGCGGTTTGTTAACATGAAATTACTAGACAGATGATGTGCTATCACGCGTACACGTCCTAGGATTCATATTTCAAAGCGTTTGTGGCTCTATGTTAATAATTTCTATAGTTACGTAGATATTGTTTAAACTGTATTTGCTTTATTTTACGTTTAATAGTAATGCAGTGAATTTCAAACAAGAGCGATATGCGTAGAATCTCGCTAGATGATATGTATTTAAGGTAAAACAAAGTTTCGTAGAGTCCGCACTAAATAGAGATTGTAAACTTTTAAATTTTTAATGATGCAATATACTAGCTTAGTTACCTTATCTTATAGATTAATACTTACAATTACCAATAGAATTAATTTTCTACACTCTTTGGATATTTTTTTTATTCAAAGAAAAATTAAAAGTTTTAAATAGATATGAATAATTTGAATGTTAAATGTTTAATGAAACGCCGAATTCCAAAGTATGTTTGAAAGCTCTTAAAATAAATAATATAAACTCTATCCTCTCAATTTACCGTTCTGATTCACGTCTTTACCGAATGAAAATCACATACAAATCTCATTAGGGTTCACATGACGACTTAATTTGAATTAATATGTTAAGACGAACTCACTTTAAATGATCGCTTTACTACTAATTACTTTAGAAAAAACCCTATCTCATTCATTCTTCAGTGACATATTAAAATATAATAATAATGTGTGTTATTATTATTTGAATATAATCGACTTATAGAGTTTTAGAGAATAAGACATTAATCGATTGATTTCGTTTTTTTTTAAAGCAAATATTTTTCAGTTACATTTTCAAACAACACAACAAACATTAATTTTTATGTCTCTGCTGACCCCAGTATGTTATGATAGGCTTAACCTGTTCATGTCCCTCATGAATTGAGGACTACATAAAATGGCTTCAAAAGAGACAGCGTGTACTTACTAACTTTTTCTATAAATAAAATTTGGGACATAGAGTTATGTTTAATTATGTATAATAACTTTGGTTTGTTTTTAATTTTTTTTCTCTTTAAACTTAGATAAATTGCTTCATTAAAATAGTGTAAACACTTTTATGGCGAAAACAATTTAGTAATGAAGTATAAAGTTACTTACATAAAGTGACAAAAATTCCAAATAATTTCAAACATTTCACTCACAAAATAATTTCGTAAAGTCGAAAAAGTTTTTTTAAAGTTTTGTTGAGTCTGGATTTATTGATCAAGTATTATTTTAACATTAAATCATTTAAATTAAAATGCTAGTGGGAGCGATATACCCGATCGGAGTACGCGGTCGACTGAGCGCCGAAAGGACGTGTAGCACCCAGGCCGGTCTCATCGTGACTGTGGCTATTGCCTTGGCTAGCGCACCACAACACCACCAGACGTCCGCTTAGCCGAGCACGTCCGTCTTCCTGTAAGGGCGCCCTGCCAAGGGCTGTACGCAAGGGGTGCGACTCCTATCACAACTTTCTAACGAACTAACTTACTTAATTTGAACTGAGACACGTCGGGCGATATATGTGGCCTATCAAAAATCGACTCACGTTTGTACACGACGTAAAAGTTCTAAGACTCTCACTCTTAATAATATTTTCACGAACGCAAACAGTATTACAAGCTTTACTTATATAACTTGTAACGTATCTTTTATGGCTTTATTGTCTTCTCTTTTTATAGCTCTATCTATGTACTAAACAATCCGACATTTGAAGAAAACAAAGTCTTAGTGTTTCAAAAGAATGTATGTAAAAAAATCAAGGTAATAAAATAATTATGTTTATCTATATTTGTCATGAAAACTTATAACTAAGTCTACATATTTTTAATGGCCAAATAGTTTATCGTTTTTCTTTTGTTATCTATTACCACTTGTTCCTTAAGGTTCTACTTTTTACTAAATAAGTTCATAAAACAACTACATAAGTAGTTGATCTATTGGTCAACTAATACCCACAATTCATGATCTCAAGAATTCTTAGAACTTGGAATTATACAAGTAAAATATATTTCAAGTTTAATGAAGTATTTATCGAACAAGGAACAAGACAAATTGATTAAATTAGTAGGTTACGTTTCAAACTATTTGCGAACTCGTTTATTTGACCGGAGCAAATCACCGTAGCGAACAACCGGACATATTGTAACCTTTCATGTGATCTGAACATTCATCCCTTTGGTTTGTAACAAATGTTAAAAGATCATTTAATCCCATAAGTTTCATTTTTAAACGCATTATTTACAACTGCTTGATATTGATGGCAAACAAACTGCACTTTCTCGGTTTAAAATAAAATATTTTACATCGTAATTAATGGTTTTTAAACAAAAGTTTTAAATCAATTATTTCCAAACTGACAATAAAAATCAATGATGACCTCCAAAATGTATCGGTATTAAAGTCGAAGTAAAAAGCTTTTAATATATTACATTCATTCTAAAAAAATATAAATTCATCAAAATTGAAAACAAATATTGTTTAAACAAGCCCGTTTCTATTATTACTTCCACCTTTTCGGCCGCTACGCAATTTATAAAAGCAAAAGTAACATAATGAATTATTCACAAAGTACAAATGTGTAAACATGAAAATATAAAGTTACCTCAGTACCACAAAACTTTGCCTCGATTCTTGTTATAGAAGTGTTATAAATAATGTTCACATCATATTATACTAATATTATAAATGCGAATGTTTGGATAGATGAATGGATGGATGGATGTTTGTTTGAAGGTATCTCCGGAACGGCGCGACATAACTCGCTGAAATTTGGCATAAATATAGAACATAGTCTGGAAAAACACATAGGCTACTCATTAAGTTTTTTTTTTAATTCCGTGCGGACGCAGTCGCAGGCAACAGCTAGTTAATAATAAAACAGTAATTTTCTTTTGGATATTTACATTCAACACGTACGACGGAGAAGTCTTCAAGTGTAGGGTGAATAGACCAAGCTAGTGTGTACCATCTTTCTGCCACCATCTAACTTCAGGTGAGATTATGCTTAAGCAAGACATTATTCATGAAAAAAAATATTCGGACAGTTTAATTAAGACAATATTTGAAATATTATCAAGCAAAGCAACTAGATTGAGTCTGCCTAGACAGCAAATTACGTAGGCGTGTAGTATTTTATATTGTGATATCGTGTTTTGCCTAATCAGCGAATGGCGTTTACGTTTACGTTAATCCACTTTGAGTACTCTTTATACTGTCCAGCGAACTCTTCCTACAAAATTCAAACAAAAAAACAATAGATCTTGAAGTGTTTAAACTTAATTTATTGGAACTTTCGTGAGACATTATAATAAACTGATATAAAAACGGCTAAACACTCACGTATATTCGCCCGCTGGCGGCACCGACTAGTTTCGAGCCCATCGGGGGCCCTTCATCAGGATGAGTTGTACTGGTATTATTTCGCGGACGCGGCCCGTCGTTCACTGAAACTTAAATATTAACGTATGCCTATAACACAGTAGATTGGGTAAAGATTCAGTTTAGACCAATTAAAAACGCGTAAGTAAACAGTTTAAGTGATATGAAAGTACTAGAAGTAAAACAGTCACTTACTTTCACAAAGATTAAGGAGCAGTATTGTTGTTTTGTGCATACGCCTACTCGCGGACTTAATGAACTGATATCAATTCAGCAAGAGATTCTACATTAACATGCAGGAATTGAAGTAAAAAAAAAATAAGCGCAGTAGACCGTGAAGACGTATAATTTACATTTATTTGCATCACAAATATGCATCGTGGGCAGCGCCGAAAGCATTAGTGCTTTACTTCTGGAATACTTCCAATGTGTAATCTAAAACGAAATTTTTTACATAGCAACGGTAAAGAATCTTAAAACTAGACGTAATTTGTATTCAATTCATCTTCCCTAATTAGTTCTTGCTCAGTTTCCTGTTATTGGCAGAAAATACGCGTAATATTAGGAACTTCTTTACAAATCTTACCAATATTATAAATGCGAATGTTTGGATGAATGGATGGATGTTTATTTGAAGGTATCTCGAGAACAGCTGTATGGATTTTGCTGAATTTTGGCATAGATTTAAAACATACCCTGGAAGAACAGATAGATTAATAATAAAGATTTTTTTATTTAATACCACGCGGACAAATTCGCGGGCGACAGCTAGTGACATAAAAACCCCTACTAACAATGTAATAAACGTAAAACAAGTCAATTTCACGAGAAATTGCTTAAGTAGAATTAAATGAGGCCATCGTATACATGAAATAAGATAAATACTTGACAATTATATATTTTTGCGATAACGCCAGACTTTAATTCCAGTGCTGCATTTTATCGAATAAATTTATTCTCAGTAATAACCTTTATTAACAGTAGATGGAGCTGTCACAGTGCAAGCTGTAGATGTAGTTTCCACTCATCTGAAACTGCCAATAAAATTGACGCAACCAGTGAGCTATGAGATCATTAAAAGTTACTTCATAGTAACTAAATCTTAAAGCGTTGCTTGAATCTTTGTTGTAATCTTGCAAATAGGTCAATCATTATAAATGAACTAAAGCTTGTCTTTACATTTTATATTAAAGGCACGCAAAAAATAATCTAATTTCCTTTTCTTTTCAGTAAATTAAATAAAAATAATGACTTCTATTATATTACCCAAATATCAGGAAATTAAAAACAATATTGAAAACGTGACGCCTCCGGATCAATCTTATAAAAATTTTTGACGAAAAAACTTATTACTTGAACCTGTTTTTTAATTTATCTGACTTTTATTATACTACTATATTGAAAAGTACTGTTTTTCAATTTTTAACAACTCGCTCAATTTAAGTTCTACTTTTGTAGATCACATTTTCTTTAAAAATTTTCAAAAAGATTTACAAAACCATATAATATCGCTACATTTTAGAAACGTTTAAAAGGCATTCATCGGTTGTGGAGAACTGTACAAATTAAATTCCTAGTTGTGAACGATATTTTCCTAAAAGAGCAGCTCTGCAAAGGCAAGAGTGGGCGTAAATGCATCCTGTCTCATTTCTAATCATCATTTTACCGTAATTGTATAAAATTTATTTATATTTATGGACTGTTTCGTGTATAATTAATTTATAATTTTATATAATAATATACGAAATGTCGGCTTTATATTTTATTGCTACTTGTACAGAAGTTTGGTTCATCGTCATGTTGCGTCTCATAGCATTTATTAATAGACAGTTTTGAAGTACTACAAAGTTACCAAGTGTTTGAATGTCATTATAAAAAAAACTTTCTTTTAAATGTCATGATTACAGATTAAATATATAAAAGAATGGTGCGTAAAAAAAGTTTAGTTAAATCTGTATTTTCTCATTTATTATGTATAAAAGAATCTTATTTCATTTTCAACACAAAGTCCACAGAGGTCTTTTCATTAATTAAGAACAAACAAGTGAAAGGAAAGCGTTCTAATTCCGTTATCAATATCCTGTCTGTTATATTTTGAACGTTTAATGTAAATTTGTATAATTTCTTGTGTCAGGCGCTGTCAACCAGAGGTTACTTTTCAAACGTCTGAAAGCTCACTTTTAAAATTATTTTTGTGGATTATATTGTTTTGTTAAAGTTAAATGAAGATTTTATGTTGTATAGTAAATAATCTCTCGTTTTTATCTCCGCTGATTTATTAACAAGTTCATATTTTTCTTTTACAAAAAATATCAAGTATTTTTAGTTCATCATCATCAGCTCACTATACGTCCCCACCGAGGGGCTCAAAGCCTACCTAAGTTAAGGGTGATTAGGCCATAGTCAACCACGCTGGCCAAGTGCGGGTTGGTTGACTTCACACATGTTTGAATTTCTTCTCAGATATATGCAGGTTACATCACGATGTTTTCGTTCACCGTAAGAACATCCGATAAATGTACATATGTAAATCGGAATTTGAAAAACACATTGATACATGGGGGGATTCGAAACCAGGATCTGCATATTGCAAGTCAAGTGCTTGACCCCTGAGCCACCGACGCTCATATTTTTAGATACCATGAAACTATTACTCCATATTTACTGAGACCTTTCAATGTCGAAACAATTTCATAAAAATGTTATTGCCATTAAACTAAATGTAAAAGACTATATAATAAGACAAAATTTTAAATAACGTTTACATTTTTATATGTAACGAATAACCTCAAAAACTACGGGGCCGATAACAAAAATTCATTTGTTACGAGAATGCTTCATTATAGATGTATGCATGATGGCTATATTTATGACTGGATTTTTTTTAATTCCACGAAGACGAGGCTACGAGCAAAAGCTACTCAAATGTTAATAATTAGATATCACTTCGTAAAACACAATACGACATTGGAATAACCAGTCGCATAATAAATGTCTAGATTCATTTGCCTAACACAATTAGCAACGGCGCGTAAATTAATATTGCTCGAATGCTTCATTAGGAATCAAAAACAGGCTCCAAATAAAATTATCATTCACTCTAGTATACACTAAAGTTAATGTAATTTATAAACCCAAAATATCTTGCAAAGATTTCAGATTACGGATTTGACAAACCTTTGTATTACGTCTCTCAATTACTACTAAGTCAAGTACTATTCTCAATTTTTATACAGTCTGTTAGGAAATGATAATATTATATTTCTTAATAACCTTATTATGAAACATCAAAGTTTTTAATTATAAAAGTGTGCTGTTATTAATACAAATAGTCCACGTCATACTCTTGGTTAAACTCGCCATAAAACAAAATGGCGCGCCTTTAATTTTCACTGAAAAACCTAAAAAAAACAATACATTGATGAATTGAACGGTTTTAGTAAGACTGACTGATAGAAAACAAGAGATCGTCGAAAGCATCTTGCTGTATTGAACCAATAATTTTTTTATCTTATCTCATCCGTAAAGTATACGACCACGTTGTGTATCTCAAAAACGACTCTGGATATACCGGCGTATTAAGGTTACAGATGAATATTGCATGAGCATTTGCTGCGTTATTTCTAACATTTTATAACCCTTATTTTGTAACAAAGATTTCGCTGTGTTTTTTTAAATTTTGCTCTCAAGTATGTATCACTTGATATAATGACTAGAAAGATAAGGAGTCGGTTATTATGGCGATACTTCTTTCACTTACTGATTCTAAATCAATATTAAATATGTTTTAACATTGTTTAGACAATGATTTATATTATGAATGCATTAATATTAATAAAATATTACATAATACATTTTTAAAAATTTAAATATAATTCATACATACGTAAAAACAAACAAGTTAAATAAAACCGTTTAAAAACAAAATTAACATTTTATAGTCCTCTTGGCGCCATCTAGTGGATAAGTTGCAAATGGTATACAAAAAATGGCCGCCTTGCATCATTTTACGCTTCATGCTTATTTTTAAAAAACAAAAATGTTTGATTAATGCATGAAACATTTAGGTACATATTAGGTACAGATATTTAAACGAGACCATAACATGTCTGGATGGAACGTTTTTAATGTTTGATCTCGTGATCATTTATGTCCGATTTGGGACTTATTGCAGCCATACGAAGTGGATATTGTTATTGCAACTATTGTAACTTCCAAAGCCAACATTTCGCTAGTAAAACAAATATTAACTTTAACTGTCAAAACAGAAAAGTTAGGATTAGTTTCAATTAAGTTTTCAATGCCCGCTGTTATAAATATTTGTAGGATAACTTCAGGTCGCCTGTGTTGAGTGCCAAAACAAACAGCTGACATTTATTACCTACTAATACTAAGAAATCAAATTGCTTAAATTGAATTGGCTTGAAAATACTTCTCCATACTCTACTTTAAGGTAAATCGTCTTCCATACTTTTCCCGAACAATCAAACAGATAATAAATTTGAAAATTAAGGATACTTGAAAAAAATAAGTGAAATCTAATAGAAACACATCGATTACTTCGTTACTTTTTTTATTAATCTATAAATCTTTACTTATATCATCAATATAAACAAAATGGAAGGAATTGTTATTTCGGGATGTTTTATATAAAAACAAAAGAGCCTCAAAATTATAATTGAATAGTTACGAAACATTTTATTCAATTCAGCGCAAAGAAAAGTAATTTCCAAATTGTTTATATCCATCAATCAAGAAGACAGCAACAAACAATAAATGTAAACAAATTTTAAAATTGATTGTGATGGAGTAATCCTGAAGACTGAATATAATCTTAACGTCGCCTTCAAAGATATAAATGCCCAGCAGTAATGATTTCCAGGGCATTCTCTTTTTTTACCTTTTGTATTTGGTCCTTAATTCGCAGGTTTTGATGGTTAATTCGAAGACCTATGGCGCCCATTTCTGTCTCGCACCGTGGGCGGTTGCCTAACAGCGCCCTACTCTGACGCTGGCCATGTTTATTTTTTAGGGTTCCGTACTTCATAGGAAAAAATCGGCACCCCTATTCGATCACTTTGTTTAAGTCGCAGTCACACGTGCCCTTGAAAGACTTGGAACTTGCTGCTTCGTAAAAATAATATATAGACAAATTTAAAAGATATAAGTAAAAGTAATTTCAACAATTCGATTGGTTTAAATTATTAAAAACTATCTAGACAAAAAGCAGTAACGTTCTTCACAACTTCTATGATGCTTAATAGAACCGTTCAGAAATACTAGCAGTATTTTCATGTGTTATAACTTCGTATTTCCCATCTAAAAATGTAATATAGCATCAATTGTCAAATAAGCTGGAAGATTATGTGGTATGAAATGTTTTCGCAAATAATAAACCTTTACATAAATTATGAGAAGCGATAGTAAACAGATGTTGAAAGTCTGTGAAGTACTGCGGAAGATACGACAATACAATAACATAAATCAAACACGTCCAAATTTCAAGGCGATTCGGGTAGATTTTGTCGGATATTGGGCAAGAGTTTGGTACGTGATTTGAATACTCTAATGGTGCTGAAAGTACTTCGGTTAGCTTTAAATTAATGTATCAAAGTAAACCCTATATTTATTACTTTCTTCGTATATAAAGTAAATACAGACATCGAAACTGACTTTAGTGGTTTACAAACAGAGAAAATTAAGATATAAAGTTTTTCTTTATAATAATTTCCACACCTCAACTACGAAATTAGTTTCTTAAATACGAAAGGTCTTGAACATAAAAGATATATAATATTATAAATGAGAATGTTTAGATGGATGGATGTTTATTTGAAGGTATTTCTAGAACAGCTGAACGGAACTCGATGAAATTTGGTATACATATAGAACATAGTTTGGAAGAACACATAGGCTACTCACTAAGTTTTTTTTTTAACTCCGCCCGGAGAGAGACGCGGGCGAGAGCTAGTATGAAATTATAATAATAGATACTTATTATAGTTTAGTTGCAATATTTATCTCAATATCCCCTAGGCATGTGTTCTTTTTATTAAAATAAAATCAGTTTTTCTTATCAACATTACCCTCATTACTTTGTAAGCAGTATTATCGTAATTGATTTAGTTCTAAGCATCTGCGTACTACGTGAGTATTAGGAATAAAGGAAAGTCGTTGGAATAAGTGAATAGAGGCCATTTAGAGGCTAATTACTTTACTAATAACACATTTGTAAGAATAGGATCGCGAGCCTTCTAAACTGGGTGAAGATTGATTGCTAATCGAAATGGTGGAATTTGTTTTGTCAATTTTTTGTATCATAAATAAAATAATTAATTTACTATTTTTTATTCATACTTTAAATCAATTTATTTTTATGTATACTTAACAATATTTTCAAAACAATTTATATTACAAGCCCTTTTGTAAAGTAGGAGAAATTTGACGATACGTGAAGATTGAAATCTGGTGGTTTGGTGGCAAAGATGTTTAAAGGAAAAATACAAAGATGATTCATTTTCCACCATTCCTACGATATTTATAATAAACTAGCTGTCGCTCGCGACCACGTCCGCGCGGAATTAAAAACAAACTTAAAAAAACAAAGCCCGAAATAAAAAAAAACAATACAGTAAATAGCCTATGTGTGCTTACAGATTATGTTCTATATATATGCCAAATTTCATTTATCCATCCATCTAAACATTCGCATTTATAACATCAGTAAGATGTCGAGAAACATGTTATGTTATTAAAAACTAAATAAAATATGAACAATCTATAGTTCATAGATATGACCAGACAGATACACCTGCGTTGGCGGAGTCTGGATGAGTGATGTCTCACTCGCTCTCGTAGACGCGGCCAGTACGCCGGCGAGCTCTAATCGATACGCAGCCTTCACGTCAGCGCTTACTAGCTGAGTTTCTCAGTTTCAATCAGTACATATTCGGGTAATGTTTATAACATGAGTACGTAGTTAATTTCGTGCAAACCGTGTATTTTCACATTATAAGAAAATCCCGCGGTCACTT